TGCAAAGAGTCCATGTATTCTTCTGCTCTCTGACATGCAGAAACAGGTGCCTCTGGTTTTTCACAGGTGGGGAAATATATCCGATCCACTTTGCCTCTCTGTCCACGTTGATTCTGACCTCAAGCCGGGGAAAGGTGTGTTGTTTACGTCTCACACATAAACAAGATGGAAAAGATTTTTCCTCCCCAAGAAGATAAATGCCAAAACACAATCACTGCCCGTGCTCATGCAATCCCATGTTTATTCCTGAGACTTTGCCATCAGCAAGTGATTCAGCAATACAGGTAAGGAAGAGCAGAAACATGGCAGTGGTGGTGACCCTTCAGTTCGGGGTGTGTCTGAAAGCTCTGTAAGTATCCTCTGCTTGTAGTGATGCAGTTTTGCGGGTCGTCTGCTGCCTAGCCCATCTGGGTTTACATTCTTCCGGATTTGACTGCTCAGCTTTGACATGTTCTCATTCTTTGTTTTCAGTCTCTCCTTGCAGAGATGTTGAGTTTTAAATCACTTTTTGTTCACACAATAAGGCTAAACCCAAGTGGTTTACGAAGAAAATAGGGTAATTTCAAAAAATGTAACTATATTGTATAGTAGACATATAATAGAGAATATTCACCAACTGGCAATTATTTGCAAAATTTCAATTAAAGCAATTAAATCACAGAGAAGAAAAGAAATTTAGAAATTAGTGGGAATGTTGACCTAAGTACCTCTACACTGAAATTAATCTCAAGAAAACAATAAAACTAGATAAGTAAATTCAATAAATGTACCCTTGAACCAAATTCATTTCTATATATTTTAATGAATTTAGTCATAGAAGTTGGTGACAACTGCTACAAATTTACCTCCAGGCCTTTTATTTATAACAATTTAACTAGAAAATATATAAATGGAAATACATCAGGAAAGTATAATTTTACATTGTTTAACTTAATACACAGCTAGCATTTTAACAATTGAGAAGAATATGATCTAGCGTCAGAATGACATGTCTCTGTTCAATGTCACCTTCAGTATTTGTGAATAAATTGCTTATAATATATCTGGAACTTATTATTTTCATTTATTTTTCACATTTTTACCTTATTAGGTTTCTATCACCTTCAACTAATGCAACAGAATATCAAGAAGAGGCATTTCCAAACTCACAATAAATTTTTCAAAAGAAATTGAAATGGTCCCTTGTTTAATTCATAGCTATGAAATATGAGGTGAAGTTTCAAAGGCAGTGGTAAAAATAATGCAAGCAAAACATAAGGAATACTCCAAGTTTTGACTTTGAAAATGTTTAAGTGATGCAAAATATTAAATGATTCACAAACAGTACCTTAACGTTCTTGTACCACTCATCAGTAGTGCTATTTAGGGCATGCTGTATTTATTAAAAATACATATATACTGAAGCTTAGCATTTCATTAGTTTTCTATACAGTGAATATATACTAAATGTAAACTAAAGATAGAGTATTTTAAACATTGGATAATAAAGAAATGACAATTTCTTAATACAGATAAAACACATAATTTTAGTATGTATGAAACTTTCATATGCAAGAAAAGTCAAAATTTTAATCAAAGATAAGATAAATAGCATATCCATAAACTTTCTCTCCCCCCAAAAGAAACAGAAGGAAGGAAGGAAGGAAGGAAGGAAGGAAGGAAGGAAGGAAGGAAGGAAGGAAGGAAGGAAGGAAGGAAGGAAGGAGGGAAAAAAAGGTAGAAAAGAAGGAAGGAAGGAAGAAAGGAAGGAAGAAGGGAGGGAAGGAAGGAGGCTGAGATGGGAGGAATGCTTGAGCCCAAAAGTTTGAGGGTACATTGAGCTATAATTTTCACTGCACTCCAGCGTGGGTGACAATGCAAGAACATGTCTCAATCAATCAATCAACCGCATGTATCATAAATTTTCATTTAACTCTGATGATATTAGTGCTGATGATACTAAAATTATTTTTTCTCGCTGAATTGTTTTATGAATTCTGTTAGACCAATATTTAGATATGTTACATTATGATGTGGAAAAATTTGTTTATAAATCTCTCCACCCTGTTATATTGTGTGCTTTGAGGTAAGTGTTAATGGCATATACTCACCTGCCTATCACTATACCCTTTAGCAAGGCTCTGTCTTAATGTTTGTTATAGTGTAATATTATGAATATATTTTTAGTAAGAATGATGTATGCATAAGTTCTACCTATATAATCTATCTATTGCTGTAATTCTATCTATCTATAGATAGCTGTAATTTTTTATATTAACATAAAAACAGGTTGGAAAATATGTCCCCATTGGCCACTTTTGAACCCATAAAAAGAGAAGGAGTGATTATTAACTTTATATACCTCAACAATTGCTTGAAATACTGATAACAAGATTATCTGTACTGGGAAAAAAATCTGTCTCCTGAGTTGAGAGATTAGAAGCATCTTTTTAACTGATTATTGCTTAGATAAATTTAGGGTCGTGTTTCCAATTGCAGAGGAGAGAAAGCAGTTCTGTGTTAATCTTTTCAGAGTACAGAAATCTTTGAAGTTCAGCCAATATTTTAACCACTAACATGCCAAACAATATCTGAAGTATAATAAGACTAGAAATTTTGGATGCTTTTCTAGCAAGAGTCTATTATGTCTATATCTTGCAATAATTGTTATTTATGTATTCATTGACTTCTATAACTCCATATACATATCTGTATTTATCTGTCACAAAAATGCCTTTACTAATGGTTGCTAGTATCTTTCAAGGTAGAAATAGGCAAATGACCAGAAACTAAAACATTTTTTTTTCTCTAAAACCCTCCATGACCCTTGAAAGGATATTATTTAAGCAGTGATATCAACTCTAGACCATGGCACTGACCTTACAAATCTTTAGCTGAAAAACATTTATATTTCTCCTTTGAGAGTGCTAGGATGTAAGATCTGTTATTATTTTAATCTAGTTAAATATAGCCTATCACATCATAATTGAATTTTAGGCATTCTTAATGCATATATCCATTTGTAACTATAAAGTTTAGAAGAAAAAGCTGACAATTGTCTTCTACCCCAACCTGTTGGAAGAATGAAAATCTAGGAACGTCAACAAAATTGACGCTATCATCCCTGTGCACCTGTGGGCAATTGCAGCTCACACATGTAACTGGGTAGGATAGACAATGAGACCTAGCTATTAGAAATTGTGGTTTTGTTTTGTGATTTCTCTAGTTGAAATTATATGATATTTAAGAATGGGCAAGCTTGAAAAAAATGGCCCATATATTCCTGGTGAAATTAATCAATACCTAATTATTTAGAAGCTGTAAATGCTATCTTTGGCTGACATGCTCACAAAATGTGTTTTCTCCTGTCAATAAAGGCCAACAAATCAGAAATCTACCATAAAGAGGGTTATTATGGGGCACAAAAGTCTTACCTTCATTCTTGCATTTAGCTATTTCATCAATTTAATAGTATTCCTGTCCCTTTAATAAGAAAAAAAAATAGATTGGGCCTTACAAATATAACTGGAAAATAGTGATACCTAAAACCATAGAAAATACAATACTCTAAAAATAACTTCAGTATTCAGTACATTAGCAGATCACCTCCTGAGATATCGAAAAAATAAATATCACCTATTACCCCTAAGAATATATTTAAAATGTCATGTATTGGTCTGCTTTGATGTTTAAGTGTTTGTTTTTAATCTGAAAATCAGGTTTCATTATAGTGGATACTGATGAGTCTCCCTCACATCCAAGGCTTAGTTCTTCAGTTGGCTGCTAATGGCTCAGAGCTGAATCTTTCAGACTGAGAAAACCATCTCACTCAATGCTAAATCCTCTCTCTAAGATTACTTCCTCTGATGACTGTTCACTACTAGGATATATAGGTTCCCCCCATCCCCCTTGACTCAGGGACAACTCTGAAGGGCCATTTGGGTTCCAGAACTCCCTGTGAAATCACCTGCTGTGGAATCCTTTGTTGTGAGTGCATCAAAGATTCACAGATGAACTCCTCCCTCTTCCCAAACCTATTGTCTTTATTTTTCTTTATTTTATTATTATTATTTTTTGAGATGGAGTCTCACTCTGTCACCCAGATGGAGTGTAATGGGTGATTTTGGCTCACTGCAACCTCTGCCTCCTTGGTTCAATGATTCTCCTGCCTCAGACTCCCTTGTAGCTGGGATTGCAGGTGCCCGGTACCACGCCCAGATAATTTTTTTTTTATTTATTTCCCTTTAAATTTTAATTTTAGGATTCTCACCGATTAACCACTTGCATGAAAATCTTTTATTTAGAGTTTTTCTATGACATCAGATCTAAGATACTGATGAAGCAAAAGAACATGCACTTAGGTTTTAAATTATATCCTACAAGTTTCTTTAATGATAAAATTATAGGGCTGAGTAGCTCTCTTCCTTATACCTATGTTTCTTCCCATTTTCTTTTGTTACACTTTAAACCATACACATTTTTATACTTAAATGTAAACCTAGAGGCTTTGTCTTAAAGTTCAATTTTTTCCTAACAGTGAAGAACAAACTATTAGCAATTAGCCTGTCGCAAATGTTTACTGCTTCTAAGGTTACTGAGTTTGTATTTTTTTACCATGATTAGGAATTAATCTTTAGTGACTTAGTTGAGTTCAAGTTTTACTTGGGAAGACTATCCAGTAAATATAGGTTCACATTTTATCTATCTAGTGACCAACTATCCAACTATAGTTCCGTTTTTATGCACCTGAGGATTAAATAAATATTTGTGTAGAGTTGCTCTTACAATAAACCTGTTGCGAAGACATAATTATACCATCTTTCTTCAAATCTTTTCTATCTTACATCTTTTATAATGTTTTTCAGACTCCATTAGTTTTTATACTCCAAACAAACAAAATTACATTTATATCACTAGAAATTATATGAAAGTTTGTACCTGCAATTAAACATCATTTACATATCTGATAGTAAAACTAGTTCATTAAACTCCTAAATTATAAACATCATCAGTCCGTGAATCACCAGATAAAACAATATAATTCTAACATCATCTTTAATTATGCAGTCGAGTTTCCCACATTTGGGGAAATCGCAGGGGTCAGCACATCCGGAGTGCAATGGATAAGCCTCGCCCTGGGAAAATCACCTTAGTGGTCATGGTTTTAAAATATTTTTCACGGCAAACATAATACGCAAGCTGAAAAAAAAATGCATGAAACATAAAAATACATTGCAACAAACAGCTGTAAAGATAATACCTGCCTAAGCTACAGTGTCAAGAAGTGGAACAATCTGAGAGTCTAAGAAGCACCTGTTGGTGTCCCTTCCTGATTTTGCACCCCTCCCTTCCTGCTAAAATGGACCACTACCTTTTGTTTGCTATTTAATTTTACTTCTACAAAGATAATTGGTGAATACTGTCTGATATACCCCCCAAAGCACTATACTGTTTAATTTAATTACCTTGAAGATTCTGACTTTTTTTTTAAATTCAACTGCCCGTTGGACATTGGCATTTAATGACCTCCTGAAACTAAAAGTCAATATGGTTCAACATAACCTTATTACATTCTATGCAGTAAAGACTACCCTCTTATATTTCATTAATAAATCTTGTATTTTCATTCCTAGCATCTACTCCTACATTTCAAATTCTGAAGTCTAAAATAATCTTTAGTTTCTCCCTTTCTCTGATCTACCTCTGTATAAGTTAAAGTTAAATTCTATTCTATTTTCTTCTAAAATATTTTAATAGCCTGTCTTTTTCTTTTTTATCTGTTGAACTACCTGATAAAGGCCTTCCTCTTGTCTGCTCGACTAGTGCTTAAGCCACTCACTTCCTCTCCCTGCTCTACTCTGAACATTTGAGTCTCTTCCCTTCCCAGACATTAAAGTAATTCTATGAATCACAATTCTAGTAATATTTTCTCTCTTTAAATCTTTAATGCCGCCCTCTCACTTGATAGCTAATGTCCCAGACTTTCATTTGTCATACAAATAAATGCATGGCTTGCCCCATCTGGCCTCATTTTCTGACATTTACACTGTAACGTTACCAATGGTATTACACCATATTTATCTGGCCAAATCATAGGGTTTGTTGACAACACTTACTTTTTCTCTTCACTCTCCCCCACTCCCTTCCCACATATAATCACATTTCTAGAGCCTTTATTATTCACCAGGAAAAGCTATCTCCCCCTGGGCAATCTTCATCCTGAAAGACTTAGCGTTCTCCCCTCCATGCTATCTTTGTACCTTGGATACATACTTCTATTTTTGCATGTATCACAATGTCGTCACATATTGTAATGCATTTCAGTGACATGTTTGTGACTCCTAACAGCTATGATCTTGAAATTAGGAGAAAATGTTATGTATCTGTATATATTCAGAGGTAACCATAAGTCCTGGTGTACAGAAGATGTTCTTTCAATTCTTGTTCAACTGAATCTTTTCTTAAACTCTGATTTCATGTCCTATTAATTCACATTTTAGAATGGCAGGACACAAGTACTTTCCTGAGCTTCATTTCTGCATTATTTCATTGTTTTATTGAAAAACTTAAAGGGGCCCTTACAAGATTGGAAGTACTCAGAACTATCAGTTCAAACAACTACTGAATGACCTATAGCAAATTATGTAGTTTAATATGGCTAGAGGGATTTAATCCTATATTTATAAACACACTTTATTTTCAAATTATCTATTATACTGTAAACCATTATGGAAACAACAGTCCTTTTCATCAGCTTTAAAGTGTGCCTGGAGAATGTTAATCACAGGTTTTATCCAAGAGGTAAATATATGTGGTCTGTGCATATCATTAACATTTGCAAAATTGAGACCGTAAGTCACATTTCCTTTGAACTTTCTCTGTTTTAGTCTAATTTATTTCCACAAATTACTTTTAGAAATGAGCTATTTTAAACAAAAAATTTGAGACATTATGTTCTTTGTGTCTTAATTCTATTATTTTTTTCTGATGTGAAAGCAAAACAAAACCTTATTTTTCTATATGCTGAAGAAAGAGAAGGAGTACAGTTTATTTCTGTTTCTGCACTAAATTATTCTGACATGGAGATCTTTTTTTCTTCAAGGTGAGCATTTTTCTTTTTTGTGAACTATCCTGCATACTATAGCTTTCACTTAGCCCCTTTCTTTAGATTTGATTGTGTAAAACCACAATTTTATTGTGACTATTATGATCAAGCCTTGCTAATTGGTAAATTGTTTTTGCTATTTAGTATTATTATGAAAATAATAAACCTCATAGGAAGATAATAAAATAGACTTTCAAATTCTTTTTCTGGTTTTCTGTTTTTCTTTAAAATACAGCATTAATATTTTATGGCAGTAAACTATAATATTCTAGTGTTGGTTTACTGCTGTAATACTGGTAAATATCTAAGAATTTTGTATTCAATAGTGTTATCTTTGGCTTATATATAATGATACTCTATGTTGTAAAGGGAAGAGACAGAGAGTGATAAACAGACTCCTTAACACATTTTCTGAATTTATATTTACCTAAGGGGAGAATTTAGGCAAATATGTAAGACAAACAACAATACCTTTGCTTATGTTATAGGAGTTGAAGTTGTGAGAGAACAGTAGCCTTTCCTTCACTTTTGTTTCTTTCATCATTTTATATAGCAGTTTAAATATTTAGATTACAGTATTGGAATACATGCAGCTGTTTTTTGGTGGCAATTTTGTAAAATTGACTGTCTACATCCTTCCAACTCTCCCTTCCTCCATTCATTTTTTTTCCTCATTCCCTTGCATTTATTTGTTAATTATAATTATTTTTCCTAGAAAATATGGCAAATATCTATAAATTTAGACATAGGTAAATAGATGTTTATAACTTGATATATTCTCAAAATACAGAACAGAAATGCTTACCAAAGATGTGGATAATAAGCTTGCAATTCTCTTTTACTATATTTCTGTAAATATATGGTTGCTGAATAAATAATTTTTATGGCATAACTCATTATTAAGTATATTCGCAATGTTGTACAACCACTATTCCTAGAACTTTTTTATCAGCTCAAACAGAAACTTCATACCCATTAAATCATAACTCTTTCCCCTCCTCCTCAGCCCTTATCCACCACCATTACACTATGTCTCTATTAATTTGTATATTATATGTATCTTGTAAGTGAAATCATACAGTATTTGTCCTTTTTTCTTGATAACTTCAATTAGTATAGTGTTCTCTAGGTTCATCTAGGTTGTAGTATGTGTTAGAATGTCCTTTCTTTCTAAGGATTATAATATTACATTGCATGTATATAACACGTTTTGTTTACTCATTCATCTGTTGATGGATATTTGGTTTGTCTCCATCCGTTCCAGAGCCTCCCCCAAGCTTTTTTTCCATTCTTTGGATGTTCTGTTTATGTCTCCACATGAAACCATTTGCACAAGGGTCTTGGGTTTCTATTCTCCTTTTTATCTTTAACAAGCAGTTTCTTCTTGATTTTCCACCTGCATTTTGAGTTATGTGAGCCAAAGTTGAGCAAATCAGTCCCTAAGTTGGGAGAGTTACAGCAGATACACACAATAATTTGCAAAGTCAGCTCTGTTTTTTCCAGTTTGAGGGAGAGAACTGGGGATCCTGGGCTACTGCCATTTAAGACCAAGACCAATATGGCAACTATGTTGAGGGCAGGTAAAATACCACAACACTTTTCTACCATTTTAAAGATTTTTTTTTTCGTTGAGATATTTTCTTTGTTGCTATGAACCTTTGATTATTTTCCAGAGCTCTGACAAAGTTGGCTCAGACAGCCTCTGTTACTTTTGTTCTTATTGTTTCTTTCTGTAGGTGAGTAAGACCTTAAACTTCCTGTTCTGACATTTTGTTCCATGATTCATATTTTTTTCAGCATTGTAATTTATTTGAAAACAGCTTTCCCATTCCACACACTTCCCAAAGCTGCATGTACAAATTAGACCTTTTCTTCCTGAACATATGACATGTTCCGTTTTCCAATAATTTTTGACTTCTTCAATTCTTTCAACTATTAGTGACCCTCCATCTAGAATGTTTCTCAAATTGAATAATGTTTTTAAGAAAGTGAATCCTGAATATTTTACCATTTTGCAATATTATAAATTTCTCTCACATTTCATTTTAATTATAGTTAATATTTGCAAGCAAACAATTAAATTATATTTCCTTAGTGGAGTAAAAATGCAATTATTATACTTGAAACATATATAAAATAGATAAAACCAGCAATCAAAATGACAAGCAGATACTAAATTTTATATTGACATGAAAGACCCTTGGAATTTCTTATGAAGTTTTAAAAAAGAAGTTTGAAGTACTTAAACCTCTCAAATTTTTGAAACTTACTACTGACCAGGCACAGTGGCTCACACCTGTAATCCCAGCTCTTTGGGAGGCTGAGGCAGATGGATCACGAGTTCAAGAGATCAAGACTATCCTGGCCAACACAGGGAAACTCCGTCTCTGCTAAAAGTACAAAAATTAGCTGGGCATGGTTGCACGCGCCTGTGGTCCCAGCTACTCGGGAGGCTGAGGCAGAAGAATTGCTTGAACCCAGGAGGCAGAGGTTGCAGTGAGCCGAGATTGTGCCACTGCACTCCAGCCTGGTGACAGAGCAAGATTCCGTCTCAAAAAAACAAAAAACAAACAAACAAAACCTTACTACTTACAGCTACAATGATGGTGTGGTGGTGGCATTAGGAAACACTTACAGATCAATAGAGTACATTTGAGTTTTCAGAAATATATCCATATAGTTGTGATTAATATTTTTAAACAAGGTTGCTGCCACAATTCAATGGGGAAAAAACTTTTTATCAAATAATGCTCAGACAACTGGATAACCACATGCCAAAGAATAAAATTAAAACCTTCCTTACACCATCTTTATATATCTGCTCAAAATAGATTATAGGCTTACATTTAAGAGCTACATTTAAGAGCTAAAGCTGTGGAACACTCAGAAGAAAATACAAGAGCAACTCTTTGTGTCCTTAGGTTAGGCAATAGTTACTTAGATATGACACCAAAAGCACAAGTGACAAAAAAAAAAAAAATGAATGGAACTACATCAAAATTTAAAGTCTTGTGCCTTAAGTGATACCATCAAGCAAATAAAAAGACAACCAACAGAATGGGAATAAATATTTGCAAATCATGT